GGGCTTCAAGTATTTCTCTCATTTGCATGATTCAATGGTAAATGTATACTCACCAGTTCGATTTCATTATTGAAATAATGTATCATGCTAATAATTTTGATGAAGTCACAAGAATAACTAATGATCATCTGAAAAATAGGATTATAGGCTAGGTATAATGTCGAGGACAAAGATCATAATAATAATCTTGGTCTACTAGGAGGACCCGGTGCCTCTTTCGGGTGCGGATGGTGGCCACCGGGGAGGTTTTAGTGAGGTAAAAATCCCACACTCCCTAGTCTTTTTTCTCCAAAAACCTAGGAGGTTTACCCCAGGAAACAAAAAAAAATAATAAAAAAACATATAATGTCGAAAGATTTTTCACACTAGTTTTAATTATTTGATGTTTACGTCTCTCCCAATATTTTCTTTGGTTCATGATGATTAGATAATGGGTCTAAAGATTTTTGACTGAAATAAATATTGGGACATAAAGTTTCATTTTCATTCAAATGCTTCGATGTTTTGAAGTATCGGACTTTTGGGCAAAGTTTGGAACACAAATCTCTTTAGTATTTCAGATATTTCACATTGAGCCTTATGAGCCCTATTCTTATAATTCCTTTTGTGGTACAATGAAACGTTTAAAAGACGTTTATTTAAAGTAAATTTATCCTGAAAAATGTGATATTAGTCTGCTACTGTTGCAAACAAAAAAAAAACTGAGAAAAAAATTGTACGGTCACAGGATATAAAAAATAGTGCTCGACATATTATGAGCTCTTTCGGTATGAAGTAAAATCAGCCATTGGAAAATGACCAAAACCAAATCTGGAGTAGTGTTCTCTCCAGCTTTCTATGTCAAAACCGGTTGAATTATTACCAGATTTTTGGTGTCCGGTACTGCAGTGTGGACATTGAATTATTTATGTGTGTGGAAAAATGCTTGCACAACTTTGGTAAGGCAATGCAATATGCAATACCTATTATGAGCACATTTTGTGTTCCAGTTTATTAACTTTCATTCAAAAACATACCTTTATTCTCATAAATTTCATCGTCCAATCCAAATATTGTCTCAAAACAATGAAAACTTTAACAAAGTCGCTGCTGTGTTTCGTTTTCTGAATGTCATCCAAATTTTTATTTTCAAGTTTATCATGTATTGATTTGCAAATATATTGAACTGCTTTTCTGTAGTTATCCGTTGTGTACAAAATAGTCAATCGACCATAGTAACTAGCCATGAATTCGTAAACAAATGCATAGTAGTCAAATACAAGGTAAGTTCCATAACCAGTGAACGCAAAACTGGTTATTTCTAAGGTAAATGCAGCAAAGATCATAAGGTAAGGTAAAGCACAAGTTTGCTTGAAGCCAGGTAATGTAGATGCTAAATTAGATGAGAATTTCAATACATAATCTTCTTCTGAGATTAAGGAACATATTACATTTAATATTATGTCAATAACCATGAACATGTTGTAAAAAATGGTTCCTATTGTGCCATAGGATATAGGAACTACTATTTGGTAATAAAATCTAATAGAAAATACGCAACTCGCTATGCAGTACAGTTTTGTCAAGAGACAGATGAAAAAGGAATTGCTGAATTTGAAATAGTAACCAAATAATAGTCTAAACCACAATAGCCCATGCAGAGAAGTATTTGGTTTTAATTTTATGATTGTTTTTAGCAATTGCATTTTTGGTATTTCGACATTTGTTACACAGAGTTTTAATAATAACGAACATTAAGTTCATGGAAAGATACAACAATAACTACTAGAATAGCCGAATGGGTCGATTGTATCTAAGAGTATATCAGTCTATTCATAGTTCAGTAGTGATCAATTACGTTTTACGAAGTTTCCATATTTTAATACAAGTAAATGAGTTTTTTATTGGTCTTGCATTAATAAGATGGTAATGAAAAAAACACATGACAAATTTTGTTTATTCCAATCGTAACACCAATGTAATTTTAGAAAATTCAAACTCACATAATAACTTAGTCTTGATGGTTTATGCATTTTAGAAAGTAATTTCCAATAATGCAATCACATATGAAATACATAAATTTATATAACCAGACGATAGAGATATATTCAAAGGGAATCCATTCCAAGCCGTATATGACGCTGAACAGGCATCAATATATCGTAGGGCATAGTATAGCTTTTGACGTAGATTTTTATCTGAAAGTACACAATGTCAAATTAGGTTCACTAAAGGTTAAAAAAAGTTATTCTGTGTTAAGTAGTGTTAGTATAAAATAATCAATGATTATTAAAAGGATATTTATTCAACTGTGGATATACATTTGGCTAATGCTGATCATTATTGAGACCGAGTCGCAGTCGCAGGCCAGGTTAGCACGAAACGTCTTACGTTTGAGATGATCAGAAAAAACAATCATGCGGGTTGAACGGGGCCTGCTGCCCCAGTCAAACCGCATAATTAGATTTCTCACTCATCGCAGACGTAAGATGCATCGCGTTTACCATCGCTTACGACCTTGACGTTAATTTTTTTTCATATATCATGACCAAGTACTTCCAAAACACCTCATCATCATCATCAACAGCCTATAAATGCCCACTGCTGAGCAAAGCCTCTTCTCACACGGAGAAGGTTAGAGCATTAATCACCACGGTTGCTCATTGCGGGTTGGCGATTTCAAACTTATAATTAGAAATTATAAGTTCAGGTTTCCTCACGATGTTTTTCCTTCACCGTTTGTCACAAAACGCCTAACAACTTGTTTATTTGAACATACCTTCACAAATCAGTAGCTCTTCAGCAAGAACTGCCTTCAAATCATCTAGATCATTAGCGTTCCTTTCCATTAGAATTGATGGCACCAAGGATGCCATTGTAAATATATTTAGTTCTAATATCCAACTGAGTACAATTTCAAGGGGCTGAAATATAAAACAGTTATAATCACACTGAAATATTGGTCCAAGACCAATGAACGTATCAAATTCATAACCAGTAATTTGTATATTAAAGTTCTCACTACCTAATTTAAGTAAGTAATATAAGGTTCTAAATATGGTTTAATTTATTTTTAAAATAATACACAAAAACAATATACAGGTGGATGAAAATTGGCTTAAAAGTAGTTACAGTTTTTGATAAACAAAAACGTTAAACAAATTTTGATGACTATTTTAAATTCGTATTTATTACTTGAAATTAAACACTATAAATGTAAGGAGTCACGAGAAATTTGACCTTAGAATAATAATAACATTTTAATTATTTCATTCACGGTTATTTTAATTATTATAAGGTCCAATTTCTCTCTTCAAAATAAAAAAGATATTACAAAAAGATAAATAGCTTACGACATCATAACCGATGTTGAAAATATGTATCGTAACGAGGGTCTTTACACAATCACTTCCTAAAGCCAGCATTGTCTGAAAGAATAATCGTGGACGAATAACACAAAACAATTTACTAAAATAAAGTATTTAGTCAGTTTAAAATATCAAAAAATAATAACTCGATGTGTAATATAAAACTCACCTTTATCCTCATATAATTCTTTGTCAATTTCAACTGCTGTGTCACTTTCATTAAATTGTCCATAAATACTTCAATGTGCCCGATTTTTGCTCTATCATTCATATTCATATCTTTCAAATTATTTTCCAATGATTTACAAAGCATGTATACTACTTGTCTATATTTATCCGTAACATAAACAAAAGTTAATCGACTTGTATAACAAACAATACATTGATATAAACCTAGCGAATACATAATTATCTCATATTCTTCAGTACCAGCAATTGTAAAAGTAATAGCATATGCTATTAAAAATATTAACACCATAATATGTGATGCATAACATCTACTTTTCTTTGACAAAGACGACAAAGAATCAGAAAAATGAATCACTGATCTTCCTTCTGTGACTAAAGATAGACAAATATTCGATAATGATTCTATGAATAATGATGCATGGTATAGATAATCAGCAACCATAGAAAAGCCGTAAATCAATTCTATGGTAAAGGTGGCAACGATTAAACCACACAATGATATGCAATACAGTTTTGTGAGCACACAAACTAATTTGGATGAACTGCATTTAAAGTATAATCCCAATATTAGTTGGATGTATAAAACATTTTTCGAAGTTAAACATGTCCTTATTTTATCCATGCTTGATTGAAATGTCATTTTGAAACATAAGGAAGTTATATTCAAGGAGTTCGTTTAAAATTTACAAGTAATTTACTGCAATATCTTCCATTATATTTGTATTACAATACGAATGTTTTTTTTAATGCAGGTCACAAAGAATATAAAACCAATGGATTACATACCGGGCTTATTTCATTGCTATCGATTTTTTATTGTCCTCTACTTTCAAATTGATTAATGAATTGACTGTTTTTAATAAGTAAAAGTGCAGACATTTGTTTAATGAATAGACGTAGATATGCATTTGTTTATAAGGTTCAAATTTTCGTTCGAAACATGAAGTTGTAATTTAACTTTAAATTATATTTTTTTTATTTTAGTCAAGCGTGTCTTTGCATTGTTCTTACATATGCGTACAGTATTGAAATATGTATCAAAGACATTGTAGAACATACTTTTTTTAAAAGAGTAACGAATGGAGTTTTTTTGCTCGTTCTTTTCCATTTGAATCTACATTTTGGAATGAGCACCTAGCTTCACCTAGCTTCACTGACGGACTGACTGGCAGACTATTATTTATTTTGTATTTGTTGACGTTTCAAAAGCACCAAATTATGGTTTAACTGTTTGAGTACCGTCATTATAGACACAATTAAAGAACAATAGGTTGCGGTCACCGGTGTCCTCACGGTGTTTGACAGTTTAATTGAAATAAATGCTTTGACTTTGACGAAGTAGATCGATTTTGTACTACCCTCTCCAATAGTCTATCACTGAATTCGATATTTAAGTCTTTCAATCTAATCGTTACCCTTTTCTTTTATTTGCTGTCCAATCATAAAGTAGACGTTTCATTACAGGTATCTACATCACGTGAAGTTTGCAAGAAAACCCGAGTACCGTCGCTTAGTTATACAGACACGTGTGAAGAAGTATTCAAACATGGGCCAAAGAAATTAAGACCGTACTCTAAACATATAAGGTAACAATTCTAAAAATTTTTACAACAATATCTATGGATTTTACAACAATATCTATGGATTTTACAACAATATCTATGGATTTTACAACAATATCTATGGATTTAGAACAATATCTATGGATTTTACAACAATATCTATTGATTTTACAACAATATCTATTGATTTTACAACAATATCTATAGATTTTACAACAATATCTATGGATTTTACAACAATATCTATTGGTTTTACAACAATATCTATGGATTTTACACCAATATCTATGGATTTTACAACAATATCTATAGATTTTACAACAATATCTATGGATTTACAACAATATCTATGGATTTTACAACAATATCTATGGATTTTACAACAATATCTATGGATTTTACAACAATATCTATGGATTTTACAACAATATCTATGGATTTACAACAATATCTATGGATTTTACAACAATATCTATGGATTTTACAACAATATCTATGGATTTTCATCATTCTCATATCAGTCACAAGACGTCCACTGCTAAATATAGGTCTTTGCCAATGATTTCCAAATCGTTCTGTTTGATAGCATGCCTCGTTGGCCGTTGGCCGAGTGATCGCAAGTGCGACTGCCGAGCAAGGGATTTTGGGTTCGATTCCCGGGTCGGACAAAGTATTACTTGTGGTTTTTTAATATTAGTAGTAGCACGGAGTCTAGAATTGTGCCTGGTATATGGCAATAGCCTCACCCACTATTACATGGGACTCATAACATAAATAATGAAAAGTGGATGTTACATTGTACAGTGGTATTAAGTGCCGTAATGTGCACCTCTGCTTATCCCTTTCGGGATAAAAGGCGTGATATGTTAAGTTCATTCCATTCTGTTATATATTTTCAATATATAATGCAATAATTGTTTTACATGTGAATTAAACAAGCTAGTCAGAAGCACACTGCACATCTATATATATAAAAGAAAGTCGTGTTAGTTACACCACTTATAACTCAAGAATGGCAGAATAGATTTGGCTGAAAATTGGTAGGGAGATAGCTTAGAGCCAGGAGACCGACATAGCATACTTTCAACCAATACTTTTTTTACTTTTTACCGAAAGTCACGAACGGGGACGGAAAAATAAGATTACGCGTACGAAGTCGCGGGCAGAAGCTAGTATTTTATAAAAACAAAAGAAGAACATAAATAGGTTTCCACGCTTGAAAGTGTGCGACCAGCTTGCGACAGATAATATAAAAATACATAATATTATATAACAACAATACAATACAGATTATATTTAAAAACAATATTGTGAACTACGCTTATGTTTGTGCGTCTAAAATAGTCATTATAGTTAGTAACAAGTTTAACCAAGAACGTGGATTCGCACTTTGCGGTTTTTCGAAGCTAGATGATCCGAATAAAATAGTGACACGGCTATATCTGGTCGAGATAAAGTGCCGTCCTCAAATCAAGTTGGAGAAATAGTTTGAAGCAGTTAAACAATTTCTATTCTGTGCCACCGTAGTATAAAAATCTGCTATCAAGTAAAAACTGTAATAGAGACACTAATCAATTACTTTGAAGTTTTTCAAGAAGAATTTTCCAAACCGATTAAATTTACCATTTTTAACATAACATCACGCCTTTTATCCCCGAAGGGGTAGGCAGAGGCGCACATAGAAGTAACACCCACTTTTCACTATTTATGTTATGAGTCCCATGTAATAGGGGGTGAGCCTATTGCCATATACCGGGCACATTTCCAGACTCCGTGCTACTACTGAGAATTTTTTAAAAACCCAGTAATACTTTGCCCGACCCGGGAATAGAACCCGAGACCCCTTGCCCGGCAGTCGCACTTGCGACCACTCGGCCAACGAGGCAGTCCATTTTTCATTTTTTAACTAGGTATTTTATTCATTGAAATTTTATATAGCTTTAACCTTAAATCTAAAGTCGATAAACTTTGACGTTTAATGGCGAGAGACGCTCATTAGACAAACAATTTCAATTATATCATAATATTTATGTAGGTGAAATGCAAATTTTTGATTTGGCATTGAGTTAAAGTCACACAGTATCCAACTTATGTTTGTTTTTCTAGACTTAAATTTGTTTTTTACAAGAATTTGTTTTCCAGACATTTCGTTGATGCAGCGATGGCTGGTGTGTGTCTTGGAGGAACGAGTGTTTATGTGATATTTATAGCGTCTTCTCTCAAAGATGTAAGTAAAATACTAAATATAACAACCCCTAAATAAATAACTATAAGATCTTCTATTTTTGTTCTCTATTACCCATTGTTGAGGTAACGAAGGCGATTCAATGAAGCAGGAGAGAGAACGGAGAAGAGTACATGAAGCAGGGTTTTTTTTTGGTAAGGGGGAAAATTATCGAATGACTTCTTCCACCTGTGTGAGGCGGGAGGGAGTGTCAGACTCTTACTGACTAAAAATTACCCCATTCCTACTCCTGCACTTAGAGCCGGAGCCCCGGTAACTTGTTAGGTTCTCCACGGCTCCGTATCGGTATCAGCCCTATTGGGCCCCATCCGTAGTGGTTTGATAGTGACGCGCCGCACCCTCGGGTCTGGTTCTTGTCAGGCGGCGAGCCACTCATGATCGCCGTCCGCAGGCCCGCGCTTACTGTGGCCGGAGATCGTCTCGCGATCCCCGACGCCCGGAGTGTCCTTCGCGATGGCTGGGTTGTGAGGAGGCAGCACTTCGCTGCCTCATGCGCCCCACCACCTCCTAAGTTAGCATGACTGCTTCGCAAAATGAGGAGACGGCATCCCAGTCCCTCTCACTCCACATTATAACCCGCACTAATACTTAATGGCATTAACGACTAGTTTCAATCCACATTGGGAGGAGGGGCGTAATCAGACTTCTGGTAACATCACTCACACCACGAAATACAATGCAAGCGTTGCTTCGTGTCGGTTTTATGGAAGGCCATGGTAACACTGCAGTTGAGCGGGCCTATTTGCGCCGAAGCATGGCTTACCCACACGTAAAATTATTAAATTAATTAGTTTTTGAGTTCGGCCTTAGTAGCGTACTTATAAAATAAAAAGACAAACTTATAGTATTATATTACAATAATTATTTATACTCCTTGAGCCTACAAAACTATAAGATGTCTTACTTAATGCTACCTTAAATTAAAACTAGACTAAATTATCTAAACGCCTTCGTGTATCTACATTTTCAGTCTGAGAATGTGTTTATAAGAAAATAGATTAGACAAAACTAAGAAAATTATAAGTAACTAGATTTTCTTTTGTTTGTTTAAGATCAAAACATGTTGGAAAATGAGAAAAATAGTTTCATGTTCTTAGTAATTATTTTTCTTTAGTTAGGAGATGTATACTGCAAACACTAGGTATTGTCTTCGGTAATGCCAATATAGACAATAGGTAAGTAAAGTTCAGGGTCTTACTACAAAATAAATTTCTTTATAAAAGTGAAACTATTTGAATGGATTCTCTTCGTTAGTGCTGATACAATGAGTAAACTGTAAAAATGTGAAGAATTCATTCGTTTGAAGTTTTTCCAATTATTTTATTTGAGGTCGTGTCAAAGGCGAATCATTGTCTGTTGGAGCATCATTATATTTAAAGAATTGATTGTGGCGTTTGTTGTTATAAATAAAATTGTGGTTAGGTATTGAAGTTTTTATCATCATTCATTTCTACGACCTCACAGAAAACCGACGTGAAACAACGCTTGCATTGTATTTTGTCGTGTAAGTGAGGTAACTGGAGGCCCTATTCCTTCCCCCTTCCCTCGCCTAATCATCAAAATGCAATGCCCTTGTTATCTTCTGGTATTTCGGTTGTCTATCAGGGCGCTTATAATAAAATATCAATAATTATTTAATGTAAACAATATGCAACCCCAATAGTAGCTGTTAAAATAGCATTCAGAGTACGGAATACACAGCCAACCTCAATATAAATTAGTTCATTCAATATGGATGCAATGGGTTCTAGTGCTGCAACTGAAGAGTACGTCACAATATTAATATCGATTGATCGGAATTGGATTCAAGAGTAAGCTCTAAGGACTCTGTTTGCTCGTTTATTGCACTATAGGTATACCCATAAAACATCTAACCATTTTTTTTAAGGGGTGAAAATCATCGAATGACTGCTCCCGCCTGGGCGAGGCGGGAGGGAGTGTCAGACTCTTACTGACTAAAAACCACTCCGTTCCTTCTCCTGCACGTCGAGCCGGAGCCCGGTTACCCGTTAGGTTCTCCGCGACTCCGAATCGGCATCGGCCCTATTGGGCCCCATCTGTGGTGGTCTGATGGCTCTTTGAGGCCATAAACGTGACTGATGATGACATAGGCCTCTTCAACTATTTTGACCTTGTTTCTGTATTGCTACATACATCTAGTTATCCAGTACATATGACCATAATCGTATCATTTGCACCTAAATAATTTTATTAACGCCGAGCGAATTGGTGACAAAATGTGGATAACACCCGCTAATATTATAAAATTTGTTGCTAATAATATTATTTAATGCCACAGCCGAACTAAAATTCTCATAACATAGTTGTTACTGGACATGAAACTGACAATTTGTTTGCTAGTGATAGTGGTTGATGACCATTGATAGTTTGCATGTTTAATTACTTTTTATATTGTAATAAAAATGGGGCTGTTATAATTTTACTGATACGCGCAATGGCATACTGTGGCCCGGCTTGGAACAGAATTTAATGTACAAATAGGCTACAACACCTATTTTGTCATAAATATCAGATATTAAATATCTGTACTGTTCACATTTATACGGATCATAAGCTGATGCGACACTATAATCGTGTCACATAAATTACAGACAATCATGTTCATACAGATACGTTCGATTTATACACAGAGTGTATTAGTATATAGTGCCTTAGTCAATTCGTATAGTGGAGACACACATTAAAGTTTAAGCCTTTGACTGTCGACAGAAAATTGCTGAAGGCAAATCCTCCGCTAACGTAGGTCACCGGTGACCTACGCGGCGGTTAACGTGTTAATGTCCCCGAAATGACAGATAATGACATATAATCCTAGATCGCGCAAGCGAAGTCTACGCACGATTAAATGTGGGTAGAAAATCCTAACGTACAACTGTTGGTCGGTAGTCCGCCATGTCAAAGTCAAAATCAACGTCAAAGCATTTTTTTCTTCTTTGGCAACCGAGTCTTCAATACGATGATCAAAGCATTTATTTCAATTAAACCATAATTTCGTACTTTTGAAACGTCAACAAATACAAAATAAATAATAGTCTGTCATTCAGTCCGTCAGTGACGCTAGGTGAAGCTAGGTGTAGCATGCACGATCACCTCGCCTGGTTGAATGATCCTCTTTTTGTGATTTTAGGGAAGTTTACTCAATATTCCCTAAATTACCTTTAGAAGCGGGTGGTTTTTAGTCAGTTGAAGGCTGATATTCTCCTAACCTATTGCTATTACATGAACAACTAAATACACCATACAATAAACACTAACACGCAATTTCATTCCTTTAATTAAGATCACGTTGCGATACTACTGAAATCGTCATTATGTCACATCGAAATTGCATTTAGTTCATTGTGTTCAATATTGCACCTCCCTGCAACTGTACATTGTGTAGAGTATGCAAACATTTTGACTGTTTACCGATGTTTTAATTACTGCTTCATGCAAATGTATCTAGACTTATTTGCTAAGTTCGTGATGAGACTGTTTGCAAACAAATAACAAAATACTGATCAAAAAGTAGTATGTATTTGAAGTTTTAATGGAATTTCTGTGAAGTTCTTTCGTTTAGCGTTTACAAACAATATGATTGTTTGAATTGAATGATTGTAACTTTTATTTTTATTTTCTGTTGCTTGATTTAGACGAATCGTAATTCTCTATGTCAATATCGTTAATTTAAAATTATATTCAGTTGTTTTTGTTTACTTATTGATAATTTACTTTAACATTCAAATTCACATAGTATTCAAAGATTACGATGTATAGTTATAACGAATTGAGTTTACCGAAGACGACATTTTATAGCTAAAAATAATGATAGACATATTAATGAAAAATTCAAAGATATTTCAAAATGTGGACTTAAATTGATACAATTGTATCATTCTATGTTATTAATAACATCACAATTTTCCTTTCAGATTTTTGACTACTTCATACCATCGACGCAGTACGAGGTCGAAGTTTACTGCGGGATCCTACTCCTACCGTTAATCCTGATCACTCAGATCCGTCACTTAAAATTCCTCGTGCCGTTTTCCGTTCTTGCAAACGTATGCCTTGTCATCACGTTCGGCATCACCTGCTATTACACGTTCACAGATCTACCGCCCTTGGATAATATTGATATGGTCGCTAGTTTTGGAAAATGGCCTCTGTTTTTAAGGTAAATTTTGATTTGAATTTGAATTTTTTTATCATTTCTTTCTGGGCATAAGACAGGCTGGTTACGTGAGAAAAATACTTTTTTGTAATCCATTTTATATGCGCTATTTTTTGAAGTTGTGTTATAAACAGAATCCTAGATATGAATGATAACAAATAATATTTATATTCCCACAATTGTTTTCAGTAAAAAAACGTTTACTTACCTACGTTTTCTTGTCAATATATTCGTTAGTAGACAATTAGATACGGTATTACGTAGTCGTTTTAGTAATAACGTCTTTAAATATTAATACTAAGGTTCATTTTTGATATTTCTGTATAAGGTAGGTACTAGTAAGCTAAAACAAATATGGAGTTCCTAGAACAATGAATTTCGTAGTACCGTATTTTGATGCAGTTTCAATCCCGAACGATTGCCTAACTTTATATTACTTTGTTTTCTACAGTTTCCAATATTCGTTTATTTATCTACTTCGAATAGTAAACCAATATTTAAATATCAGCATCGATCGTTAGTTTTTATTTAACTTTTATATTGACTGCGTCGACGAGGATAACGATTGAATTGCAACAAGAAATCATTAAACCATTTTGACACACGTTTGACTAAACTTGTGAATTTTTTACGTATCAATTTATACCTGTAGTATAAACAGCTTTTGCTTGCGACATTGCTCGCGATCTTTTAAGTGATTGAGAGCAAATTTACAAAAATAAATGATTCACTATTGTTTACACCATACCAATTTTTAGCTTCCTTCCTTGAAAATTACGAATTGTTCCATAGGAACTTCCACACCCTGTTTTAGGGAAATGGGGGCTTAGAAAGAGACAAAAATAACCTTTAGTCACTCTCCATCCTTTATTAACTAACTATACTTAAAAAAGCACGTGAATTCGTCACTCTGTTTTGCTGTGATAGTCGGACAAAGTCAAAGTCAAAGTCAAAATCATTTATTTCAATTAGGCCAGAATGGCACTTTTGAACGTCAACAAAAACAAAAATTTAAAGTGAAGCTATGTAATGTAGTAAGTGATTCCTATGGAGAAGAACGAGCAAGAAACTCCATAGGTTACTCTTTTTCAATCAGGTTCACAATACAATTTACTAGTTACAACCAAACAGACAAACAAACAGACACACATTTTCACAATTATTATAATATATTAGTATGAATGTTTTTAAAACCAAGTTTTGTTATTATATATATCGGTTTTCTAGAAGCGCATAAGTGTACTCTACAAAAGTAAAGCTTCTTTATATTCATGAATGTTGCTGAAAACAGTTAAGGAATATGAAACTAGATCATGTATATGCATGAGTGGGATAATAAATGTATGATATAAAGTAATAGAATTGAAAACCTTAGCTTACCTTTATGCAAAAGTATTATTATTGTTTGTTGGTTTGTTGTATAATGCTGATCGTTAAAAAGATTTAAGACGATTTTATAAGTGGACTGTATTATAACTTGAAGGAGTATAGGGATATTGTGTTTGTTTCAAAATATTATCCTCCCATAAAATGGGTCAATTCCAAATGGTACTTAACGTTTCAAAGACGTGACATCAAACTTTAAGGCATCGTTCACACCAAACGTATTGTCGGCCACTGACTGTGAGTGCACGTTACGCTGTTTAATATTTATCGCTTTTCCATCGTATTTAATATCTCGTTTACACCGAATCGACTACACGCTAATACGTTGTGCGGTGTTGACATTAAGCATACTCACAGTTGCCTTTAAACATAATGGCACACCTTTAAATCTTCCAAGGTCATCTGTTTTTCCAGTTAGAAATGACACCTACAATAGTAAAATTGTAATATGGGGCAATATCAATATTCCGAAATATAAGACAAAAATTAAAAACCTGAGTCAGCAATGGGATACTAACATCTACTCAATAAAGCAGTCTACAAAATTGTACTCCAACCTTTAATTTTTTTCCAGTACCGCCATATTTGCGATGGAAGGCATCAACGTCGTCATGCCAGTGGAGAATGAGATGGCTAAACCTCAACATTTTCTGGGATGTCCCAGCGTGTTAAACGTGACAATGGTCTTTGTAGCCATTTTGTATGGAGTCGTCGGAATATTTGGATATATGAAGTATGGAGATGGTGTGCTTGGCAGCATCACTTTGAATTTACCCGAGGGTGAAATGTGAGTATAAAGTATACCTTCTATTATCGTCATCTACAGCCAGAAGACGTCCACTGCTGGACAAAGGCCTTCCCCTTAGTCCTTCACGTCGAACGACAACTCGTCACCTGCATCCACTGGCTCCCCGCAACTCTGGCGATATCGTACATCTACCTAGCGGAGGCCTGCTCACCCTGCGCCGTCTGGTCCGTTATCTCCACATATTACCTTGTGTACTACACTAATTGTCAAGATTTTAGTTTGCCCTTATTTGAGGGGGACAACCATCCAATGATTCCTCCCGCCTTGGGTGAGGCGATATGGAAATGTCAGACTCTTACTGCCTCAAAACCACTACCTTCCTTCTCATGCTCCTCTCCTGTGTCAGAATTATCTCCTGTTTCATAGATGCATATAATATTCGAAACAATAATTTGTGAATAACACAATTGTTTACATCTGGGCGGGCAATGAATCTGCGACAGGCTACACAATAGTTAATCGCCCACCTTCAGTGCTAATCGTACAGAACATTTATTATTAGGTTCAATTTTGGACCAAAATTGATTTCACGGTTAGCGCGGTGGCTGGGCAACCGGCTGCCGCGCAACGTGTAGCGGGTTCGATTCCCGGACGGAGCTCTTTATGTGATCCACAAATTGTTGTTTCATGGGTGTCATGTATATGAAAACTTGTATGTTTGTAAACGCACCCACGACACAGGAGAAAACCCTAATGTGGAGAGTTTATTAAAAAAAAAAACAAATACGTAAGCAGTGTAAGTACGTATCTACTTAGTAAACCCATAGTAGGTTAGCTACTTTTAAACTTTATCATATATTTTAAATAATTGAACTACCTTCTGGTTTAAATTCAGTTACCGAATATTTTATCAGCGACCGCGACGCAAAGGAGAAAGTAATTACATTTAATTTTACTTTATCATATTCGCTGGAAAAATTCGAGCAGTTAATATTAGTATGTACGTTTGTACGGTTACTTAGGATTCTTAATTAATTCATATTGCCAAGAAATAATTGCATATTATACCTAACATAAGCAATGATTTCTAGCTATCCCTGAGAATATACGGAGCCGCGGAGAACCTAACGGGTTACCAGGTCGGAGTGCAGGACAAGGAACGGGGTGGTTTTCAGTCAGTAAGAGTCTGACACTCGCCCTACCGGGAGAAGTAATTCGACGATTTTCCCCCCTTAAAAAAAAATCCCTGAGAAAAAATGAAATAAACATTTATTAAAATCACTAGTAGAACCTGCAATACATACGTATTTGCGCAAAGACGAGTCATGATTTAAGTAACAAAGCAAAACTCGTTTCGACCTGAAGCCCATGAATGATAAAACAAGTTCTATATCTACTCTAGTCTAATCTAGTCTAGTCTAGGCTTATACGTGGAGGTCGAAATCGGATAAAGGTCGGCTTTAAGTAGATTGCTATTAACCATAATTTTTACTTACGTACTCGGAGGCCCGCCCTTCCCAATCCTACCGATCCCTGAATCCCCAACAATTCTTAAATTTCTAACCCCCAAAAGGCTGGTAACGTACTTGTAACGCCTCTGTTGTTTTGGGTGTACATGGGCGGCGGCGATTGCTTACCATCAGGTGATGATATGTCAACTCGTTCCCAGCTTAACCCTAAACAAATGTGGCAGCATTCTCCTGTTTGGCGTTCAATTGCTACAAGAACATGTACTAAGTCATGTAAAGTATCTTAATATACCTAAAATATAAACAAAATACAAGTAAATGGTCCCTTGTAAAATATCTTCCGCTTCACAAAGTTTCTTCAAATAAATTTACTTCCTTGGCTTTAAATACTATGTTGAATACTGAGTAATTTTTGTATATACATTTATAAATATGATTCTGTATTATTACATACTGTATATACCTATTACATTTTTCAAGAAACGTGTTACGAACATAATATTTATTTGTATGTAAAGTTGTGTAGTGGCCAGCATAATTATATCGACCTACGCCAATCTGTCAAAATTCATTGGATTTTCGACTATATGTTAATGCAATAAAGTTGAAGATGCAATAGAAAAAACTGACAGAAAAGGAGAGGTTGACCTGCTGGCTACCGTACGTTTGTAAACGCACCCGTGATGTAACAGAATAGAACAGATATTTCCTTAACGAATTAAAAAACCGATAAAATTGGCGGGAACGCGTAACGTCTTCGAACACGCTCACTCACTCAACGTTTCGGCGGCGACTGTTGGCGCGAGCGCGGGGCCCGCTCTGCGCTCGAGCGAGGCGTGGGCGGGGCTTCGAATTTTGAATTTTAGCGCGAACGTGAATTTACTACGTTACTACCATTTTTTTAATCGCGCTACAAAGGAGGTTTTTAACATAAAAGTTGCCTACACATGACAAGAGAAAATCCTAATGTGGGGGTAAAGTTTTAAAGAAAAAAAGTTATATGTATCGCAGTGATATGATAATTCTATGTAGCTCAAATTTTAATCTTATGTTCTTATTATTTAGGTACTATTTTCATACTAACAGGTGTTCTTCGTCTTGCATTTTAAGTTATAGTTATTTTACAAGTACTGTCTATTCATATTATTGTTCCACCTGCTTCTATCATATTTGCTCTCTTAGGTCCTTCGTTTGTTTTAATTCCCACACAACTTCACAAGTACAACTACAAAACGACAGTATATGGTAAATATACTGTCGTTTTGTAGTCTATCCAAATCTCACATATTACACACAAATCCACCATAATATTCAAACATTCACAAATATTACAACACAAAATGATTCTGTAAGTCAGTCTCCATTCTTCACGTAAGTAATAAAATTTCCGTCCACATACGAAATCAGCATATTGTTGTCGTTTCACGTAAGCCAGGGCAAATGAATAAAATACCACATTTCCTTATATTTTTCATAATATTTGCCATTTTGTTATGTTCTATTTTGTCAAATAAACTGTTGGAACTTTTTGTTTTATACTTCTACACTTGAGACCAAAGATACGGAACCATTGGCATTTATTTTGTTTTATCGATCGCTATTTAGGTAACTTTAAAAAAATGTTCTTTTTACAATAAAATGCTCTCATTTTAAAGTTAACTCAATTTTGTTCCAAACGAAAGTTACAAAACAAAATTTTAGAAAATGTTTAGTTACTTACCTACTTATCAAGAAATAAAAACGTCAAAAAGATAGAATAAGTACCAAAATTTACACGTTTTTGGTAACTATAATCATAAAACTAGAAACTTGAAACATGTGACTCCTCTGGTGTTGCGGGTGTCCATGGGAGGTGCTGATCGCTTACCATCAGGTGATCCGTCTGCTCGTTTGCCTCCTATTCCATAAAAAAATCCATAATAAAGTAAAACATAATTAATAAACGTTTTTATAGGAGCGTCAGCTTGCAGTAATTAGTCAGGACTTAATATGTTTAATCGCTAATTAAGTTAGGGCTAGTAGCTCCTCTACTTTACCCATAAAACAGCTAAGAGAAATTTCTAAACGCTTCGTAAGTTTAAAAATGAAGTATGATCTCTGGCATCTTGCCAAAACTAGTAAATAAACGACAAAAATATGAGTTTTATGCTCTTAAATCTAAGTCTAAAACTGTTTACGTTTGAATGTCTTAAATACTTAAAATAATACTTCATTCAGCCTATAATTTGGACATATATTTTGACTGCACTGTTCTAAGAAAACATGATATTGCTTAATCAATTGTAAATATTTCAGTTTCAAAGACATTGAAAAACATGACTAAATAGTTTTGCACTTTATTTTATTCACTTTGAATTCAGTTTCAAATTAAGTTCAACTTAAACTAAAGAACTCATTTGCAGTAGTCTTATAAGTAAAGCCTTAGAGACCAAAATAGAGTCTCAGTTTGAATTTGATCAAGAATCCCTGATAAACATAACCTAGAGGACGATTTATAGGTTTTAAACTTTTGTAGAAATTCTTTGAAAATATTCGAAACTATGGAAAGGTTAGGAATAAAAATGATAGAGGTAATAAAGGTTTTATGGCTACCACAAATTAGTTTTATTAGCCGACTGTAACCTTTTTAATTTCAAAATTTTATTTTATAGATATATTTTTCTATCACAGAAGGGCTTAATAGTTTGTTCATAAATAAGTGATTATGGTGTTTAAAAATTTATGACAAGCTATGCATGTCCCTTTTTTCTGCAGTTTTTTTTAATTTGTTTTTGTTTACAGTTTGGCACTAACAGCGAAGATTTTAGTAGCCGTAGCGGTGTTTTTCACTTACTGCCTTCAAATGTACGCGCCCATGGACATCATATGGACGAGGATCAAGATCAGAATTAGGAAAGACTATCACAATGTTAGCCAAATAATACAAAGGACACTCGGAGTTACTCTTACAGGTAATGTAATTAATCATTTTCTTATTTAATTGTCACAACTGTCTAGGTCTAAGGGCCCGTACACAAAACTGCGATGCGACGTCGCATCGCAAAAATGTGCGAGCTCCCTCTACGCATCGCAAGAACTTGCGAATTGATTCACATCGCGCATCAAATTCTTATCTTCCCAAAATCTTCTTAGTTTCTTTTTCCTGTATCTCCTAAGCAATAACAGAAGTGCATATTTCTTTTTACGATCCATGTCGCGACCTAGTTGTCAATTTAAAATACGTTTAGTACGGTCGAAGGAATGGTCACCCGAGGAGACGCCTTGTCGCACGAACTCGCATCGCAGCAATTATATAATATAATAATAATAATAAGCCGGTAAACGAGCAGACGGATCACCTGATGGTAAGCAATCGGCGTCGCCCATGGACACCTGGAACACCAGAGGCGTTACAAGTGCGTTACCGGCTTTTTGGGGATTAGGAGTTTGAGATATTACTTATATCTAATTTATTAAAAATCATTTTGATTGGTTTCAGTGATCCTAGCAATTGCAGTCCCAGACTTGGAGCTCCTAATCGGTCTCGTGGGAGCCATCTTCTTCTCAACCCTCGGTCTTCTCATTCCAGTAGTCGTGGAAACAGTTCACAAATGGGAACGTGGGCTAGGAAAATGTTCCCACGTTTTGTGGAAAAACGCATTACTGTTGATATTTTATATTATTGTGTTAGTATCTGGTTGCTATGCGGCTGTGAGTGAGATTGTATCTAAGTATAAATAAGTTTATTTAATATTTTATTTATTTTATTAGTTTGTAAAGTTAACATTGTAAAGGACAAATATAAAATAACAATGAACACGTTTTGTCGTTTGATTACGTAAGCTTTCTTCTCTATTATCGTGTTTACACTAGAACTGGCATCAATGTAAGTTTTAGAATTTGTTTGTTGAGTAAAACATCTAAAAAAGTCGTAAATATCACCTGGAGGAATTTAAAATGTATCAGATGTTTAACACGCAAACTATGGCTTTAACGTTAAACGTTTTTAAGTAAAATTGTATGACTCAATTGATTTTATTTTTATGGAATAAGCCGGTTAATGAGCAGACGGATCACTTAATGGTAAGAGCCGCCCAAGGACACCCGAAACACCAGAGGTGTTACAAGTGCAATACCGACCTTTTGGGGATTAGGAATTTGAGGATTGTTGGGGATTTGAAGATTGGGGAGGAGGGTAATTGGGCCTCCGGTAACCTCACTCATACGACAAAACACAACGCCAGTGTTTCACGTTGGTTTTCTTTGAAGCCGTGTAAGCACTCCGGTCGAGCCGGACCATTCGTGCCGAAGCCTGACTCTCCCACAAAGATTAGATTTCAGACAAAGTAATCTTTGTTCGGTAAATATAAATTTCAATGTCAAAAACCTAGTTCAGACACGTGTAGTATTTTTAGGAGCTAAAAATAACGTAGGTACAGAGAAGTATTTCTAAGGCTTTGTTTAGGTTAACCTTAAACTGTCAAACCCCAAGCGGTCACCGGTGACCGCAACCTATTGTTCTTTAATTGTGTCTATAAATACGGTACCCGACGAGGTAAACTATTACTTTATTTCCCTGAAGAACTAATTTTTTATGACATAAGCCGGTAAACGAGCAGACGGATCACTTGATGGTAAACAATCGGCGCCGTCCATGGACACCTGGAACACCAGAGGTGTTACAAGTGCGTTACCGGCCATTCGGGAATTGGGAATTTGTGGATTGTGGAGTATTAGGGGATTGGAGAGGATGTGGGGGGGGGGGGGTATTGGGCCTCCGGTAACGTCACTGACACGACGTCGTTTTTTTGGTTTATTGTGAAGCCGCGGTATCACTCCCGTCGGGCCGGCCCATTCGTGCCGAAGCATGGCTCTCCCACACTTAAAAATGTGGGATGTGTGATATTTGGTTACGTTCATTCGACATCCTATTTTATATTTCAGACTCATTTTGTTTTAAATTCTCTTTACAAAGATACATAACATCACGCCTTTTATCCCCGAAGGGGTAGGCAGAGGTGCACACAGAAGTAACACCCACTTTTCACTATTTATGTTATAAGTCCCATGTAATAGGGTCCCATGTGAGCCTATTGCCATATACCGGGCACATTTCCAGACTTCATGCTACCACTGAGTTTTTTTTTAAAACCCTGTAATTCTTTGCCCGACCCGGGAATCGAACCCGAAACCCCTTGCCCGGTAGTCGTACTTGCGAGCACTCGGCCATCGAGGCAGCTTTTACAAACACTAAAATAAATATTCGTTCAGCGAGAATCGTTAGTAATAATTTATGAATTACTTAATGTTTTAGTCCAAACTGTGGAATGCACCTTCGAGTGATTCCCGCTCAGAATGAAAACTCGAAATTCTAATGACGCAAAACTTCTTTATAATTAGAATTGTGTAACTTTAAACTAAGGTAACCAACTTCTTTCATTGGCTTTCCAGTTTTAGACTGTTCTCATCAAAGAGCAACGTTTGATTTGCAAAGCAAACAAACACTAAACAAAGATAAATAAATACTCGTCTATATTTATTTTTCTATATTTAAATTTTATGTATGTTGTGTATACAATGTGTATCTAAGTACATTCATCATAGCGTAGGCAAATTTATACATGGCTGATAAAGTGACGTCTTTTATGACCGGCGTCATTACTAATAGTCATTAGTTATTAGTTATAGTTATACCTAGTATTGAGACTGGCACGAAATTTTAATTAATTAGAGTACGAGGTCTATATAAAATAGACTTGTTAGGAAAATCAGTAATGCCAACCTTTACTGCGACGTACCATGGACTTTTGTGTGTACCTGTATTCTTGTTGTGTGTCGTGTCGTAATATAAGGTATTTCTTTTATTTTCTTTTCTTTATTGCTAGTTTATTTTATTATTAATTGTTTATTTTCAGCCATTGACATTGAGATTCATGCCGTGTCTACAACATTTCAGCTTAATCGGTTTAAGTGCAATCCCAACATTTTGTTGCACAATTTCACATCCTTACATTATACATACATACATAACTTCACGCCTGTCTCCCATGGGGGTAGGCAGGACTTGGGAACGCCAATTACTACGATTCCTACATACCTCTTTCGCTTCATCAACAGTCATTAATATTTTCATGCATGCTCGTCGGTTAAGAGTATTTTTAATTTGGCCCTTCATATATCGCCAATCTGATCACTATATGTCCGTCTAGGGCGCCCTCTACCGACGGCCCCATTCATATCCGCACTGTATACTTCTTTCGTTACTCTACTTTCATCCATCCTTTCTACATGTCCAAACTAGCGTAACATTCCCTTTTTAATCCTTGTCACTACATCATCTTTCAATCCACACTTTTCTCTAATAACACTTTTTTTTATATAGCATAAGCCGGTAAACGAGCACACGGATCACCTGATGGTAAGCAATCGGCGCCGCCCATGGACACCCGAAACACCAAGGCGTTACAAGTGCTTTACCGGCCTTTTGGGAATTGGGAATTTGAGGATTGTGGAGGATTCGGAGATTCGGGAGACTGGGGAATTACCCCCCGTAATTGGACCTACGGTAACCTCACTCACACGATGAGACACAACGCAAGCGTTGTTTCACGTCGGTTTTCTGTGAGGCCGCGGTATCACTCCGGTAGAGCCGGCCTATTCGTGCCGAAGCATGGCTCTCCCACACTTTAAAAATATTTTTCACTCGATCATGATAACATTATAGCATACATTTTAAGTTAATTGCTTGCTGACTTTCAGATCGTACAGAAACATTTTAAGCAATATGGCGCGCGTCGATTGTCTTGATGGCATTTCTTATCGCATTGTATAAATTGAAACTCGTGTTTCGCAAATGGCTTGCTTTATCTAACAAGGAATATAATGATTGTTTTGTAAGTTATAATGAAAGTTCTAAAATCAAAGTTGAATAACAATACAAATAATATCAAACATCAAGTTGAAAAACTCCTAAAGAAAGTTTAATAGCAATTTTTCGTAAAGCGTTGTTCTCGAATTTTTTCTTTAGCTCTTACAATTCCATAGTATTTTCGATAAATTGATCGAATTTCTATTAATTGAACTCGATGAATGGATTCAGAAGTTGTGAATGCCTCTTTGGTTTACTGATTTCTAAGGCCTACCATACAACATAACATCACGCCTTTTATCCTCGAAGGGGTAGGCAGAGGTGCACATTATACCACTGTACAACGTAACACCCACTTTTCACTATTTATGTTATGAGTTCAATGTTATAGGGGGTGACCCTATTGCCATATACCGGGCACAGTTCCAGACTCCGTGCTATTACTGACCCGGGAATCGAACCCGAGACCCCTTACCCGGCAGTCACAATTGCGACCACTCGGCCAACGAGGCAGTCCTACCATACACTGACTGCTTAAAGTATTCAGGATCGACTTCAAGCTGTGACTGCATAGTGAACTACAGAAATCTAAGTACCTATGTACGTAATACACGGATTGTTCGAGCACTTGCAACTGCTTCGGGCTGTTGTCATTTCCTTATTGCGATCAAGCAGTCGCCAGGCATATGGTGACGCCCGTGCTCATCATTTTTTATTTACATTGGAACTGCTTGAGTTGTTATCAATAGTGACTTAAAACTTTTGACTCTGTCTGCATGAGCGGTTCGTACCTATATGTTTACATACTTTTTTATAAAGAGTAACGATTGGTGTTTCTTGCTCGTTCTTCTCCATTCGAATCTACATTTTGGAATGAGCACCTAGCTTCACCTAGCTTCACAGACGGACTGGCTCACAGACTATTATTTATTTTGTATTTGTTTACGATTCAAAAGTACCAAATTATGGTTTAATTGAATTAAATGCTTTGACTTTATCTATAGGTAACTATTCGAGTATTCCTGTATAGCAAGCCTAGTAACGTGTTTCTCAAATTACTAAATAGGTTAGTTCAATACTAGAGTCTGTATTAATATAATGGATTTAGAATTGCGGTTGGTATATGGAAATTCAATCGTCTATAATTACAATACTGAGTGATCCTATTGTCAAATCGAGTCATTAACAAGAACTAGTTTACTAAAATAGCTCTCCACTTTTACTTGAATGAACACTATATCGGAACTTTTGTCGCGGAGAACCTAACGGGTAACCGGGGCTCCGGCTCGACGTGCAGGAGAAGGAACGGGGTGGTTTTTAGTCAGTAAGAGTCTGACACTCCCTTCCGCCTCACCCAGGCGGGAGCAGTCATTCGATGATTTTCCACCCTTAAAAAAAAAAAAATATCGGAACTTTTGGTTTTGTTTTACTGTGTACTGTTTGTATTCAACTTCTATTACCGCATACAGGTAACTCCTTCGAAACTATGAAGTTCTTCAAATGCATTCATCATCAACAGCTTATAAATGCCCACTGCTGAGCAAAGCCTCTTCTCACATGGAGAAGGTTAGAGCCCGCATTGAGCAAGCGTGGTGTTAGCGATTTCAAACTTATAATTAGAAATTATAAGCCCAGGTTTCCTCACGATGTTTTCATTCACCGTTGGTCAGTGGTGTCTATATAATCTTACAAAGTACATATAACTCGGAAAAAGTCACATCACTTGCCGTTGGTAAGTTTCGAACCTGCACCCTCGTGCATGAGAAGCAGGTGTCTTCAACCTGCGGGCCACCACGACACTGCATGTTCAGCTTCAACAAATGCATTAATGTGTTCCTTATAGTCTCATTTACATCAAATCCCGTGGTATTCA